GATCTTCAACAGGACCAACATGGCGAAGCTGCTGACGATGCTGGCGCATAGGATGCCGATCATGGCGTAGTTGCTGCGGCGGTACTGGTAGCGCCCCTTGACGGCGTCCTCTGGCCAGCCCGTATACAACGCGTACGTCGTGACGATGCTCCCCAGGTTTCCGAGGCCCGACACCAGGGCGGAGGCGGCGGCGACGCCGACCTCGCCGTGGCGGCGCTGGAAGATTTCGTTTGTCCAGGTCATGCAGTTGGGGACGGTCGGGCCGAGACCGAAGCCGACCATCAGGAGGCCGCCGTAGCGAGCCCAGCCGTTGTCGAGGGCGAAGGTGACCATCAGAAGTCCAGCGATCTGGATGCACACGGCGGCTGAGAAGATGAAGGGCCTGTGGCGGTGGAAGCGGTCGGAGATTGGCATGATGAGGAGAATCGCGATCAAGTCCATCTTCTTCATGTTAGCTTATGTATAATGGACTGCGAAAGGTGATACATACGATCCAGATGGGGGCAAAGAGCAAGCTGACTTCGATGCTGGATGCTGTGGGCACGATCGAGCGGATGATGACGGATCCATAGAGCTGAGTGCCGATACCGACGCCGACGACTCCAAAGTACATCATGGTCAACGGCCAGAGACGCCAGTCGATCAGAACTCTGAAGAGATCTCCGACAGTCCACGGCCTCGGGTGGTACACCCGGCGAAGCTCAGAGTAGTGGACGATGGCGTCGTGGCCGGACAGAGCCTCTGGCGTGGGCGGGATCCACTTCAACCACTTTGAGCGCTCCCGCTTCTGGCCTGGAGGCAGAGGGCGGTCAGGGAGCCACCAGAGCAGGGAGAAGCCAAGAACAATGGCAACGAGGCCGTAGATGAGGAACATCCAGCGGAAACCGACGAGACCACCCATGCCGTCCATGAGCTGGAAGCCTGCAGAAACGAGACCGACCACAGCAGCCGAAAGCTGGGCAGCGGTGAAGTACATGCCGATTCTCTTGCCGGTGCGAGACGGCGGGTAGAACAAGGTGAGGTAGTAGGACATACCGGGCCACATGCCAGCAATGACGACGCCGAGAAGGAAGCGGAGGAGCCTGGTTCCGTTAGTCTCTGGAGTTTGAGGGTTATCACAATACATACTTGACACTCCACGCGCTCTGAACGGCGGCGAAGCAGGTTCCGACGATGCCAGTCGCGATGACGATACGGGCCATCCATACTCTAGGGTTCAGTCTGGCCATGACCAGATTCGAGGGGCAGTCAAAGATGACATAGGCCACGTAGAACAGAGCCAGAGCGGTTGAGGTATCCTTGGCGGTAAGTCCCAGAACCGACATCAAGTCATGCCCTTGAGCCGAGTTCATCGTCTGCGCAATGCCGATGTTGGACCTGATGGCTGAGCATAGAAAGTAGAGCGACCAGAAGGCTGCGCGTGTTAGCGTGGGTGTTTCGCCAAGATCGCGCAGAGACTCTTACCTGGGATGATGCGAAGGTCAAGCTTCCTGGATATTGGTCAGCGTCGTCGACGGCCAGGCAACTTGCCCTGGTGAACACCAACCTGTAGACCTTCTCGACTGTCTCGGCGTCGTACTCCTCGTGCTCCTCCTGGTTCGAAGGGCCGGCCAACGGTCCCGTGGTGGACGCCGCAGCGCTGAACTCATTGGGGGTCTTGTTGTCGTAGGCGTCGCGCGCCTCGTCATCGTACTCATGAGCCATACTCGACTACGGAGCAATGGAAGTGCGTGCAACGAGTCTTTTCTGGCCACTTTTTTGATGCTTGATGTCGAAATGATACCAATGAGCTCGATCGCAGCGGTTTCCGAGGCGTGCTTCTGAGAAACGCAGGGGTTGCACGAGGGGCAGGACGTTCGGCGACTGGAGTGTAGAGGAGGAGTTGAGGTTGGGTGCGCGGATATCACAGGCATTTAAGATCTTTTTTGCGCCGAGACCCTTGGAGACTCACCGGCGCTGATAGTGGACACCTCCAAGACAGCCACCAGAGCTCTTTTTTCTTCAGGTGGCCCTCGGCGAGATGCACTAGCAGATCTGGGACTGGCAAGATCGAAAAAGGGAACGATTTCTCAAGCTAGAGGGGCTGTTTGGGACCGTTGGTCGGTACACCGGCCGTTCTCGCCCAACAGAATGTGCCGCTCCACTACGGTAGGGTTGAATGTACCTGAGACTTTTTTTCTTGCGGTGGGAGACGCTTCGGCGCTGCCCACATTTCCGAGCCTCAGCAAGCTCCGGACTCGGTCACTAGGGTGAGCCCAGGTGTGACACCGTCCGACCGGGCTAGAGTAGGCGCAAGATTGAAAGAGCCCGTTCATGGAGCTTTCTCAGTATCTTGCTAAGGTTGAAATGCATTAGCCGCCAGAACCATCATCGTGTGACTAGCGATGGTAGGAGGAGGGACGCTGTCATTCCGGCTTTCTTCGGCCGCGAGGATTCGAGAGTGAAGGGCCCATTGCGGAAACAGTTCACAAAATCGAAAGATCTCGAAAGGAAGCAGGTCTTAATTGCAAAGACGAGATTTTGCACCTGTGTAGCCAGAAGAGAGCGCAGCCGGGTAGTGATGACATGCCGGTCTTGAAGATCAGCTCCAATGACAATTGAGCGTAAGTTGGTGGGGCAAATATCATAGGGCACGGCTTGCGCCTATCTGACGTCGCAGGCTGGAGTCGCGGTGTAGGAAACACTCCTCAATCACAGATAAGCTATTCAACCGATAATAATTCTTGCCGTTGAGTTGTCTCTTCAATTTTCGATACCACACAATAGATGCTTATTCATGGAAATCATAAGGCATCAACAAGTCTGCCTCAGGAGCTGAAGACAGCAGTCATTTCCTTGTCCTTCTCCTCACTCCCGAACCCCACTTTCGGTCTCACATCACCGCCGCTCTCACATTCTCTCCTTGTTTACCTTTGGCTGATAATGGTGACTACCAGCTCCTCACGTCCAGTCAATCAACATCATCATGCAGTCGAGCCTACGTGGAAATATCTCAATTTTCGGTACCTTTTCACAGTCTGAGTCAAGTGGATGATATCCTAGGACTTGCAGGCTTTGCGATGCTCTGGAAGCCGTCTTGCCATCCGCCAACGTCAGCAGTCTATCTCACTCCGCAGGACTTTATACTCGTTAAAAAGGATCAACTACTCGGTGGCCACACCGAAGCCTTGAGGAACAGCCTATCACGTCGGAACTAGATTAGGAATTTGGCGGGGTAGTCACCCTCCTTGATCCATCGCATCATCCCAACCCCTCAACCTAGTCATCGGTCAAGGCAAGCAAGAGGCATCATATTCGGTCAGTCACCGATAGGGGACACAGGATTCGGGCGGCCCAAGTCTTTGGTTCGCGGCCGGTCTAGACGGCAAGGGTCTCCGCACAACGTCCACACCATGGAGAAGTCCAGGAGGGGCATAAGGCAGTGATGCCTGATTTTGGCGAGCTACGAGCTCAAGTCGAGCCCAGGGGCCTATAACGCAAGTGCGAGCTGGAGCGCCAGAGAGAATGTAAACAAACCTACGTGTAAGCGGGTTCACAACAGGTCCAATAGGCTGGTGACAGCAGTCAAGGCCCACGTGCCTGCTGTGACATATCACCTGTGCTCTGTGAGGGTGATACGAGTTCACTTCTGCACATCATTCTGCCAAGAACAACGAAGCTGCCTATGCTCGACGAGATCTCGAAATGGACACTCGCAGGCCGGTACTGACGAGGAGCTCGACCGGTCCCCAGTTTCCGGTGAGAAGCCCCTTGTCGCTTTGCAGGCCTCATCCAGGCAACTCAGCCAACATCGTTGGCCCCCAAAAGCTGGCTCTTTCGACGGCCTCAACGCGGCTGTGAATGTAGACTTGAGTGTCGGTCCCGCTTTACTGCGGCTCAGTCTTGAGCATTACCAATGGAACTTTGGCGTTTGGCCATGGGATCTCACAGGATTTCAGAGTACGCAGACCAGGTGAGTGATTCGGCCTCGATCAGCTCTGGGCAAAGACTAACTGGATTCCGACACAACAGTAGGTAGGGAATTCACAACTACACCAGCAACTCACCCGAGGCGTAGCAGTCACGGGACTTTCCATTTTGAACAAGAGTAGACAGGGATTATGTCTGAAGGCTGGCTGGCAGCCTTGAGGCCTACAGGCTACGGCCAACAATACGTTGCCCTGTGAGTCAGACTCGCATTCTCTTGTCTGCCAACGTGCCCAAGATGGGTAAGGGTTTCGGAGAGAGAACGGACGAGTCACCTTGCGTTGCCGCCTGATTTTGCTGTCGAAGAACATAAAAGACTAAAAAGGGTTGAAGAACCCCGAGCAGCATGGCATCCTGAGCTAAGAGCCCAAAGCAATATTTGCAGTGCAACATACGGCGTACATATCCGCACTCGATCGCGTCCTGTACTACCATGTAAGTGAGTGGGTTCCCTCACATGCTTGACAACGGAGCATCGCTGCGCTTCTGCCTCGCAACCCGCAATCCGGAGGAGTCATCCTGCCCAAAGTGGGTCGTGGTCCGTTCTCTCCGTGTCTCTCTGTGGCTGGGTGGCAATCTTGGACAAGGGTCACGTGGCGTGCGCTGGCTTATTAATGCAGGCAGGCTGTGGCTGGTGCGCCGCAGCTGTCAGCTCTTTCGCTCTGCCGCCAGAATTTTCAGGCCAAACTAACTTTTCTGCCTTCCTTAGCATCGGAGCTCTCTCTCACCCATCAATCCAAGCTACGAAAGCCGACGCGCGTGTCATCGCAAAGTACGCAAAGTACGACCCTAATATCCTGAGCGCTGCCATACCGCGCCTTCCTGTTCCTTTCTTCCATCATCTTCTACCCTTTGCGTCTTTATTGCAGTTTTCCTGCCGAGGACTCCCGGGAAGTCGCGACCTTCTCTTCGTCACCAAACCGCCCCCCGGTCACGACCTACCTTTTTTCCCCCGACCATCGAACCGCATTCTTCTAGACAACAACCCCCTGACATCAGTCAAGCTGGACATCGCAGCGCGCTTCCCGCTCAATATGTCCGTCGTCTACGAGCCTAGAAACTTCATGCACGACGGGTCATACCCTCCCATCGGGGACCCAGACCATGACCACAATGACCCGACGGCGCAGTACCAGGCGTCCGACGTCCCGGAGCTTGCCTCCTACAACCCCACAACGTCAATGCTGGGAGACGACCGCTCTCTAATGCCTGATGGCCTCGGCGACACTACCATCGATGTTCCAGATGCCACGCGACTCGACCTCTCCGCGCCGCCGAGTCTCGCCTCGCTCCCTCCGAACTTGCCTCCCGCTATGCCTGACCCGCTGCCCTCGAACAACACCGTCGTCACACCCCACAAGGACGAGGCCGAGGCGTCAACCCCATCATCGAGGGTCAAGTGCATACCAAAGCCCGAGCGCGAGGTCACCAAGCAGGCAGATGGCAAGTTCTATTGCACGTTCCCGGGATGTACGGAGGAGACCCAGGTCTTCACCCGGAAGTGCGAATGGAGGTGAGTCTGAATCGGCCCCGGCCCCCATACCTTGAGAGCTTCGCTAACATACTTTGAACTTCAGCAAGCACATGGACAAGCACGAGCGACCCTACCGATGCGCCGCCGAAGGCTGCGAAAAGCTGCCTGGATTCACTTACTCCGGAGGCCTCCTGCGTCACGAGCGCGAAGTACACGGCAAGCATGGCGGACCCAAGAATACTGTCAACTGCCCTCACCCGAATTGCAAACGTCACACCGGCAAAGGCTTCTCAAGACAAGAGAACTTGAACGAACATTTGCGCCGGGTACATACCAGTGACGGTTCCAGCACCGTTCAGGACGACGTGCAGACTGGCAGCGACGGCGACAGCGAGAAGGGTCTCATGGGTAGCCTCGTCAACATGGGTGGCAGTAACAAGCGCAAGCGCTCGCGCAAGAGCTCGGATGCTGGCTTTGAGGAGCTGCGCGAGGAGATCAAGCGCGTGCGCATGGAGAACGAGGATCTGCGCCAGCAGCTCGAGAGACACAACCAGCACAGCTTCGCCATGATGTCGCAAATTGCGGAACTGCAAGAGGCGCTGCGCACGAATCTCGACGCCGCTGGGCTCACTGCTCCCACTGCCACGATGTTGTAGGGCCCTCATCTGGCCCTGGGAGCAGCGACGACTTCGCCTCAACCCACGCCTCCGCCCGCGCCCGGAAACGCGGCCACTTTGCAAATCTCCCCGAACTTCCCGACACGGCCTTACGACCAAATCTCCCCTTACCCCGGCAGCTCCGATATTTTCTAGGCTGCCACCTTTTTGTCACCCTTGTTACACCACATACATCACGCACCACACACACACACACACACACATCTCTACACCTGACGAAACAAGCATCGATGAGGCGTTCTGGGAGGGGTCGAGTTGCCCTTTTTGATTCACACTCATACCTGGTCTTCTTTTCTATTAGGGCGGAGTCATACGCCGTGTATACTTCCGCGCAGGCTTTTTCTTTTTCTTCCGACGAAAGGGATAATTGTTCACCAAAGACGAAAGAGGCAAATCAGGCGTTTTACGGGAAACTCGGTCTTTTTTTTCTCTGGTGGCGAAGCGCGAGAACGATGACGACTACTACTACTATTACTGCTTTCTGAGATATCCCCCTTCCCAACTTTCTCTCTTTTCTTCTTCCGCATACCCTTCTCTTCGCAGAGCGTAAAAGAAGAAAAACAAAATACCTCTTTTCATGACGGCGGCAAATGGTAGAATGTACATTTTTTGGGTTTCTTCACCCTAACCCTCCAACTATTACTTAAAAACTCATGTCTCCCCCTCTCTTCTCTTCCACTCCTACAACCCCTTTTTTTGTAATTCTATTGGTTTATATCTTTTGTAGTTGAAAGCTCTTAGACTGGGAAAAACCAAAACTTGATGATATCCCAAACCATAAATTTACATGAACATCCTCCTCTTCTCCATACAACATAACTTCTTCTGAGGATGACTGAAATGTGATTTGTAATGTGGTGTTGAAGCTAGTAATTGCGCCCTGGACATGCATATGCAATCCTTCCAAACCGTACGGATAAGTCTGTCTAATTTGTATATCGTATCCGTACCTTCTCTTTTAGGGAGATCAGAGAGAGAGATGACGTACCCCCCCGGAGAGGGTGCTTTACGCGTACCGGAGCCGCGCACGTCGTGAGCGTGAACCATGAACATGGGGGGTAGGAGGCTAAAAAGACGCGTCGTCACATGTGACCTTTTTCTAGAATCGTCCAAGACCCCGGGCACTAGGCAGCAGGCCAACATCGCAGGTTCGATCTGCGCGGGGATCCGAAGAGGGTCGCTCTCGCGCCCTGTTTCTCTTAAACTCTTTTTTCTGAAAGAGACATTTTCTTGTTCTCTCCCCCGGGCGGACGGTCTGCAGAACAGGATGCAAGGGGGATGGATGTCAGCGATCTTCGCCAGGACGGGCTGAGTCGTTGGAGGAGAGGACGGGATGAGTAAGAAGCCAAGTCTGCCACATCCGCGGCTCTACATTCTTCTTTCACCTCCTTGTTTTCTCGTGGGATTGTAGCGAAAAAGAGCAGGGGACCGGTATTTTTTGGTTTGGATATCGTGGTCTAGCCTGCATGTTGTACATGACGGTGGTCTCAAAACGGGGGAATTTAGTCAAGTCTACAAATGTGAAAAAGCGCGATTTGCAGGACAACGTCTAGACCTCAAAAACCTCGCCGAGACCCTCGGAGCCGCCCCGCCGGTTCTCGACGAGGTCCAGCCTCCAACCCTCCCAGTTCGTTAGCGTGCGCTTAATCTCCTTGATGCGCTCAAGTCGCGCCTTCGCATCGTCCTCTTGCGCGCGGCGGAACGCATCCTCGTCAAAGTCCATGTCATCGTCCTCGAGGAACTCATCGTCTCCAGTGCCGGTGAGCGCGTTGATGCCGCTCTGGAAGAAGTCGCCGATGCCGCCGTGGGTGGGCTGCTTGCGGTGCGCAGAGGGCGAGGTGCCACGGCTGTTGCTCAGACTGACGTTCTCGAACCCGGGGCTCTGAGGGCCCGGCTGCATCTCGCGGCGCTTCTCCTGCCAGTGTCCGTGGCGAAGGTCGTAAACCTCCTTCTCAAGATCCCGTACCTTCTTCTCCAGACGCAGACGCTCCTCGTTCTCGAGCTCATCGACGCCGTCATCGTCAAGACCGCCGCCGCTCTCGGTCGACTTACGGCTACGCAGGCGCGTGTTCTCGCTCTCGAGGCTCTCGACGCGGGCCTTGAGCTCGCTGACTTCCTTCTCCGCGCGCTCCTTCTCCTTGCGCAGAGTCTGGGTACGCGAGTCCTGTTCCTTGTGAAGGGTCGTCAGAGTCGTCACCTTCTTCTCGAAGCCATCCGCCTTCTTCTCGGCCTCGAGGCGCGCATCTATAGCACCAGCGAGCTCGTGCTCGAGCGTGCGGAGTTTCGTCTCGGCGGATGTGCGCTCGCTGCCTTCCCGAACAGCCTTCTCGGCGGTGCGGTCGAGGTTCTTGCGCAGGTCTGCCAGCTCGTTCTGGGCTTGAGCGGCGGCCTTTTCGGAGCGGGCAAGCTTATCTTCGAGAGCGGCGATTTGTTCGCGCTCAGAGGAGGTACCGCTTGCTTGGCGGTCGACTTGGGCGCGCAGCTTAGAGATCTCGATTTCCATGGACTCGATCGTCGAGGTCTTGGACGCCAGCTGGGCTTCGAGTTCGGCGGGGGGCGAAGACATGGAAACGGAAGGTGATGAGCCGTGACGGCCGCCGGAGCGGGAGGCCTGTTGCTGTAGTTGAGAGTTTTGGCGTTGAAGGGCCTCGATCTCGGATTTCTTATTGTGATTGTCAGATGACTGGCACAAAGGTCTCGGGAGGTTGTAACACAACTTACCAGTTTCTCAACCTGGCTTTCCGCCCCATTGCTCCCCCCCTCCGTCTCGCGCAAGTCCGCCAACTCCTCCTCGGCCTTTTTCCATCTCTTCTCGGAGTCTGTTGATTCCTTTGTGAGACGCTTGTTCTCCTTCTCGAGCTCCTCTATGCGAGCGACTTGCTTCCGGTAGATGTCGGTTGCGGTTTCGCCCTCGGGACCCTGTGCTCCAGGTGAAAGGGGGCCTGTGGAAATAGAGCCTTGTCTGAAGGAAGCCGACCTGAGCTTCGATTGTTGAGCTAGTGATGGCTGGGAGGCGGTTGGGGATGTAGGCTGCTCGGCGACGGCTTCAGACGCCTCCTTTTCCTCCGCCTTTTCGTCCTCGTTGGCGGTCTCGGCGGGCGTGGTGGGTTCGGCTTCGGCTTCGTCTGCCTTGGAAGCACTGGGCTCTGCCGCGGTCGCTTCTCCCTTCTCCTTCTTTGTGGTGCCGGCCTTCTTGGTCTTCTTCTTCTTCAACTCTTCTACCTGCAAGAAGGTCAGCAAGGTGGGGGTGCAATAGGACGTTGGTCGACGCATACCCTCTTCTTGGCTGCGGCCAGCTTCGCCGCCTTGTCATCGTCGGCCATGATGACTTTTGAAGTGTGAAGGCTTGTCGGTAGTGTGTCAGGAAAGGTTGCTGGTTCTCGTGCTGCGAGGGAGCTGTCAAAGCACGTCGTCGAATGTCGGATGAGGAATACGATAGTCGCAAATTGGACGGTTTGGCCTGCTGCAGGAGCTTGCTTAGCTGTCCACTCGTGTCAGGAACAAGCCACATTCCATGGCTTGTGGTGCAGTGGTGCCCGGCAGGGGCCTTCCCCAATGACGGAGGCGGACAAAGGCTACAGCTGCCAGGCGTCGAGAATGTACGCTAAAGTTACAGAGGACAACCTTCTTGTGTTTGAGGAACACTTCCCGTAACTCGCGAACATCAACAACACGCCGACTTTCCCTGCTTCCGAGAAGTCAACAATCTCGATGCAAGTAAGAATTGCCGGCGTCATCGCCCTTTCACGCTCAATGGGGCCAAAATAGCGGTACACAACGGCTCATGAATAGCAATGAGAGCCCAGACAGCAGATATCCACATAAACACCAATGTCAACGCGCAATGCTTTCGTTGCCACCAGCGACCTTCACCGTTGACCACCAGTCGATCCAAAATATTGACGAGGCTCCAACATTGGGACCAATGGCCAACCTCAAGAGATAAGACGTGCCAGCGGGCCAAGCGGATCGCAACAAATGCATACGCAGTACTGCAGCGAACTGCCTCCGCTGCGCAGTTCCCGCCCCACGACGTCCTCAATGCATTGGCGCCTTACATCCTCCTGTCACATCTCAAGGCGGTCCATTCCCTACTTTAGCCGTGACTTGATTGGCAAAGTCCCCGTCGTTTCGGCTGCACTAGAATCCAGCTGGCACTTGCCAGCAGCCTGATATGGACTGCTACGAATAGACGCATCCGCAGAATGGGCCTCTCGAACCAAGGGCGCTCACTGCCTGGGTAGCCTACCAACAAGGGAACGCAACAGTAACAGACAAGGATCTCTCTCGTTCGTCATAAGTCAGAACACCCCGGGACAAGGCGACTTAGCTCATTCAGGATCGTCGGAGCTGCCGCAGCAACACCCTTTTGAACTCTATGCAGCTCAGACGGCCCAGAGACCGTGGTATACTAAGAAGCTGACATACCACCCAAACCAAATGCTCATCTTACTCTCCTTCAACCCCCCAGCGCGCGCTGGAGGAGGGTCCATCACAACACCAGGTCGTTGACGGCAGGAGTTCGTCATGGGCCAGTGCGTATCGAGAACCGGTGGCGGGGGCGACGGCGATGGCAAAAAAAACACAAGTCCTGCGAGCTCCAGCAAACCTGAACCCCGCTGTCTGGCGTCTGGCTGTCCGAGGACCTGCGATCCGTCCTCGAGGTCGCGATACTGCACACAACATGCCCAACTGTGCAGGAGGCAGGGATGTTCGAAGCTACGATATCGAAAGGGTCCATACTGTCAAGAACACCTGCGTGAGTTGTTTCCACTCCCACCAGCCCACTTCTCAAGGTTTACATCGCTGACCTCTGGAGGCAGATACGTGTCGTGCGTCTAGGTGTTCAAATGACCAGGCCAAATTGATGGATGCATGGTTTACCAATAACTTTTGTCTTGAGCACCAAGGCGAAGAGGTCCTACGCGCTTATTTCTACGGCGATTCCGTACTGCCCGAACCGGCGTCTGGGGCGCAGGTCGTCGCCCATCAACCACGCGCTCGCAAGCGTCGCTCGCGACAGAGATCGAAGTCTGATCCTGCCCCAATCCCAATCCCAGAGACTCCCGACAGCTCAGAAGAATCCTCAGACGACGAAGTCCCCCCGGCTACTGGCCACCGATCATCAACAGTGCTCCCGACCGTGGGAGAGGAGGGTGACGACAGCGATGGCCCGCAACGAGCCACCACCCCAAAGCCTGCAGAGGAGCAGAGGGACGACACGCCGCCTGCAACCCCTCGCCGCAGCCAAAAGACGGTCCACTTTGCGGACTCACCTCCGCGGCCCTCCTCCCCTGAGAAACGCCCAGCTGTGAGCGCCGGCGTCTGGGCAGCAGAGCCCAGGAACCAGTCGCCTCCTCAACTTCGATCCTCAAGACGCCGCCGTCGTGTCGATAACAGGCACGCACCGCCTAGGGCTTCAAGCAACTCGGTGATCGCATCGCCCCATGGCCGCGAGAAGCGCTACCACCCCAGCACCCCCAAAACAGCCGACGTGAAGCGATCCCCGAGAACAAGGTCCAATCGCTGAGCAAAACGAAACCCAGGCCCCCCATTAGCGCAAGGGAGCTACAAACCCCAGCCCAGCCAGCCGTTGCGTCACGGCATAACATAACCCAGCTGTCTCAACCAAAACTCACTATCATACGATGGCCGAATCCCTATCAATTTTCTGCACCTTCAGTGGGGGCTGCGGCCCAAAGACGTAAGATAATGCCCGCGTCAAAGATACAGTGGTAATTATCTCTCAACGGGCGGTAGAATCGGTTCCACCTTTTGGCGTCGGGCACGGCATTTGGCGGGGTAATGGCGGGGTACGGCGCGAACAGGGCGCTACAAACCACCTCACGGCCGAACTGTACCATCCTCAATCCTCAATCCCGCGCAAAACAGCACATTCTCGCCAGCTTCACCCATCATCTCTCCCGCCTCAACCTGCGATATCCTACTGGCCTTCCATCTTCTCACGCGTACATACTACGATAGTCTGCGGTCTTCGGTCCCACACGTCCTCCGTTTAGCGACCGACACAATGGCCTCTCTACCTGCTCAACATCCGTCTCTAGCGCTACACCTAACAGACCGCGCCCTCAACCCGATCCTCACGTCGGCGCACTCCCAATCCCAGCTCGAGGCCCTCACATCGCTGACAACGACCTCCCTCACCGCGCACGCCGCCGCAACCCGCTTCTCCCTCGGCCCCGCCCAGCGCATCATCGTCGAGCACGGCCCCGGCAGCCCCGTCGTCCTCTCCTCCTTCCTCAACGGCGCCGACGCCCTCCCCAACGGCGGCGAGACCTCCGCTGCTGCCTCAGCCGCTGCCGCCGCCGCCGCGACCAGCAACAATACCCCTACCGCGTCGAGACCCGCCACCTCGGGGCCTTCTTCCGCGACGGCCGCGACGCCAGGCGGCGCTGCCCAGGGTGCTGCTGATACCAAGACGAACGACGCGGAGAACGCCGCCCCGATGCTCGTCGGCGTCGTGGTTGCTGCGACAGGCGAGGAGGCCATGGAGGCCCGTCGTGCCGCGGGACGGTTGGAGAGGGTGGGACGCGAGTTCCAGCGGGAATGGGCCGCTGAAGAAGGGACTGCTGCTGCGGAGGGGAGTCAGTGAAAGCCCATGCAGGCCTTGCGAGATTTCTAAATCTGTGGGCGGGAGAGGAGCGAAAGAAAACGGCTCCCAAAGTTGACAGCGCAATCTGGCGCGCACGATGGCCGGGCGGGCAGGATGATGGATGATGGCATTTGGTTTTGACGAGGATATGAGGGAAACGAGACCATGCGTCACATGAAGGGTCCGGCACGGAACGAACCATCAGGGTCACAGGATAGGCGTTCGGGCAGGCAGTCATTTTTGCGCGTTAATCATAATCTTTGATTTTGACGGTCTCTATATACCGAGCTTCATTTTACCCGTAACGTCCATCGCCGCGTTAAAAAAAAATTGAACCATCTCGCCAATTAACCAATTTCTACCCATTTATATAACCGCTTTAAATGATCTGCTGGAAAGCACGGTTGATAGGAGAGCGGACGTTGGGAACGCTCTTCCAGAAGTCGACGGTGGCAACCGCACGCTTGGAGATGCCCTCGGGGGTGAACTCGAACTTCTGCGCAGATTGTTAGCAAAGATTGTAAGAAATGGCCCTGATGAGTGCAACTTGCCTTGTAGACGTCCTTGTAAGGCCCGGAAGCACCGAAGCGGTTGATACCGAACTGCTCGTGAGAGAAGCGCTCCCAGCCGAGAGTGCTCATGACCTCAACGGACATGATGGGGTGGCCGTCGGGAAGGACGGAGAGCTTGTACTCCTTGGACTGGGCCTCGAAGACCTCAGTGCAGGGCATGGAGACGACACGGGCAGTGAGGTTGTGCTTCTCCTTAAGGTACTTGACGGCATCGACGCAGATGCAGACCTCGGAACCGGTGGAGACGAGGGTGACGTCGGCGTTCTCAGCCTCGTGCAGGACGTAACCACCCTTGATGGCCTTCTCGATGACGGAGCCCTCAAGCTGGGGCAGGTTCTGGCGAGAGAGGGCGATGATGGAGGGAGTGTGCTTGGAGGTCAGAGCAACGTAGTAGGCGGCAGAGGTCTCGTTACCGTCGGCAGGGCGCCAGACCATGTTGTTGGGGAGGGCACGGAAGTGGGCGAGGGTCTCGATAGGCTGGTGAGTAGGGCCGTCCTCACCAAGACCGATGGAGTCGTGGGTGGCAACCCAGATGGCGCGGACCTGGGAGAGGGCGGTAAGACGGACGGCACCGGCGGCGTAGGAGACGAAGTTGAGGAAGGTACCGCCGTAGGGGAGGATGGTGCCGTAGGCAGCGAGACCGTTCATGATGGCACCCATGGCGTGCTCACGGACACCGTAGCGGATGTAGCGACCAGAGTAGTCACCAAGGCCGGTTGAGGGGGCCTGGAAGTCGACGGCGGCCTTCCAGCGGGTCAGGTTGGAGCCAGTCAAGTCGGCAGAACCACCGACAAGCTCGGGAATGACGCTCTCGATCTTGGCCAGTACAGTCTCGGAAAGCTTGCGAGAAGCGATGGCAGGGTCGGCGGGGGTGTAGACGGGCAGAGCCTTCTCCCAGCCCTCGGGGAGCTCGCCGGTGAGACGGCGGTGGAGGTCCTTGGCCTCGTTGGGGTACTTCTCGGCGTACGAGTTGAGGAGCTTGTTCCACTCCTGCTCAGCAGCGGCACCCTCGGCGGCGTGCGCGTTGTACTGGTCGTAGACCTCCTGGGGAACGACGAAAGACTGCTCGGGGTTGAAGCCGAACTTCTCCTTGAGCTGCTTGATGTCGTCAGCCTTGAGGGGAGAGCCGTGGACACCGTGGGTGCCCTGCTGGAGGGAGCCGAAACCAATGATGGTCTTGAGCTGGATGAGGGTGGGCTTGTCCTTGGACTTCTGGGCCTGAGCAATGGCCTTCTCGATGCTGTCGAGGTCGCTGTTGCCGTCCTCGACGGTGAGGACCTCCCAGCCGAAGGCCTCGTAGCGCTTGACAACGTCCTCAGTGAAGGCGACGTTGGTGTCACCGTCAATGGAGATGTGGTTGTCGTCCCAGATGGCAATCAGGTTGCCGAGCTGGAGGTGACCAGCCAGGGAGGAGGCCTCACCGGAGACACCCTCCATCAAGCAACCATCACCGAGGAAGCAGTATGTGTAGTTGTCGGAAACGGTGAAGTTGTCCTTGTTGTAGACGGCGGCGGTGTGAGCCTGGGCGATGGCCAGACCAACAGCGTTGCAGATACCCTGACCGAGAGGGCCAGTGGTGACCTCAACACCGGGGGTGTCGTGAGCCTCGGGGTGACCGGGGGTGATGCTGTCGACCGTCTTCGGAGGGGTAAGCAATTGCTTGGGCATTGAACGTCACTAGACACTTACGCGGAACTTCTTCAGGTCGTCGATGGAGACGCCGTAGCCGAAGAGGTGGAGGAGGGCATACTGCAGCATGCAGCCGTGTCCGTTGCTGAGGGATTGGTCAGCCCATGGGTCCAGCGGAGATGTGAGCTCGGAGATCGAGTGAGGGACTTACGAGAGGACAAAGCGATCACGGTTCGCCCACTTGGGGTTCTTGGGGTTGAACTTCATGAACTTGTTGAACAGAACGTGGGCGACCGGCGCCATACCCCTGGAGACGGCTTGTCAGTTTTCTGTTCGGGGTTCTCATCAAAAGCGCGCATCGTGGGGGGAGCACATACATGGGCGCACCGGGGTGGCCGGAGTTGCTGTTGAAGGTGGCATCGACCTGGAGTGAATATTGTCAGCCGTAGCTCTGGTGAAGCTGCTTCTCGCGATGGCGATTGCGTGGTTGCGAGCAGTCCTCATCATGCCACGGCCAATGGGCTGGCAATGGCGGGGTCGAGAGACAAATCTCAACAACAACAACGGTGGCGGGGTAAAATCTGGCGGGGAGGATGAAACTCACGGCCAACAGGCGGATCGTGTTGATCGCCTTCCAGTCTTGCTCGGTGTAACCCATGGTGTCTGATTTCTGCGTTCTTCCAAGAGAGAAACTCGGTCAAGGAGGAAGAGGAGATGGATGGGAAAAGGTAGAAAAAAGTTGGGAGGCAGCGGTAGAAATACAAACGGGACGTCTGAGAGAGGAGACGGAGAAGGGGCGGTGGTATGTGTCTACTGCATGCACCTCAGTGTTTGGCCGCAAGGCAATTATTGAGCACCTGGTGGGGACCTTGACGTGGGAGTGGACAGTGGAACATGGAGGGGTGAGGTACATTGACTGCACCTGTGCTTGATGGAGGGGGATGGAGGGGCAACACCTCAGACGGGCAGACAGAGACAGAGACAGAAACAGACCACCCACTGCCGCTGCCTCCCTCACACTAGACGTGGGCTGGACGTGCAGGCCACCGTGGAATGTGTTCCGAAGTATTCTCTCCATGTTTTGGTGTGTTGACTTCTTCCATCTCAGGCAAGGCAGTGCGCCATACAGCATCTTCCATTACCTACTTTTCCCCGGGAGGCACCTCACGTAAGTGCCCTACTTGGCAAGCCATCGTCAAAGGTAAGCTCGAGCCACAGCATCGGAAAGAGCTTCGTTCGCTGTGGAAGGAGACCTGGGACAGCAGCCAGAGGTACATCTCGTTAACAGCTAACGTCATACCACGACGGGGTACCTCGAGCTCTGTCGACTGTCACCAGCTAGCTTCCTAGCCTCTAGGTAGGTAGGTACCTTGAGGTAAGGTAGGTAGGTGCGTTGCACGGCGGCGGGATGCCCGGCGGCATACCGCCCCCCGGTGCCGCTTTCCCCCATCCCATGGAACTCGCCCTCGACGTCCATTGATGCACCTTACTCTTTCCGCTCCCAATCTCCCGGCTCAATCCAATATTCCAGGGCAGAAACTGGCATCACCACCAGGGGGAAAAAGTCACGCATATCCCGTTCTTCCAGAAGCACCCCCATCCTGATACAATCTTCACATGAAGTGGGGGTACACTTGGCCTGTCGTGTTTTTTTAACGCTGTTCCCCAATTTTCCGGTCTTGTCCTTGGCCGGCAGGACGGCGGTGCAGGCTTCAGCTCGTCTCAACCATCTTGAACGCTGTGGACTGACCTTGCCTGGATGCGTCTGTATGAAATGCTGGCGGTTCTTGCTCCTCTCCCAGGTGTTCCGTGGCTGGCCCAGCCCACCGCCATTGGTGGCTTTCGCCCAAGTCGCCGTCCAAAAGTGGTGTACTTCACCCGCCGACGACTGCGAATTTCGAATTCCAATTCACCCGGCAACCCCTGCGAGGCAAAAATGCCCGGCCCAAATTCAACCTCCCGTCTGCGCTCTCGGTGCTTGTACCGACTGACCCTACCGACGTCGGTCTGACACCTGGAAAGGCAATCCCACCTCGACGAATCATACCGCCATCGCCCGTTGTAGGGCATCTTTCTCAGTCAGCAACCACTAGACGTATCACATTTTTTACAGTGACGTCTTTTTCGACATTCGCAAGAGTCAGTTCATGTCGATGAGCTTCACTCGATGCCACTGTTGACTCGTGCGAACGACCAACGGCTCCGATGGATCGTCATCCAGAAAAACTGTCGTCATAATGCCCACAACGCGTCGCCTGGGTCCCCCTTCGGCATCTCTCCTCTGGCAACTTCGGCTTCGCCTTGACTAATCCATGGAGCACTGGAGACGTTCGAATGTGCCTGGATCGTCGATATCAATTCTGTTTGGGTATCTCCGGCCCACACCGGAGTGAGCTGGAGCAAGCACGCTGGAGTCTGCAAGGCCGATGCCCCTCCGCCTCCCGCCAGTAGGCTCCGTCTATTTATTCGCTCACGATGCTGCCGCGTCGGCCATAGGCCCAGAGACCTCCGGACTTTAAGCCTCGTCTGAGGTACACCGTCGCTCAGGGAGAGCCAAGCGCCGAAAATACCCTTCTGCGAGACCTTTGCCAGGACCTCCCAGCGCTTCCCGGGCCCCTTGCTGCGACCTGCCTCTCGCTCGCGCTGTTTCAAGCCGGCGACGCGGATAAGCTCTGGCCCCTCCCCATCACCACGCCCGCCTGGCATCCCCTGGTCGAATCTCGTGCTGAGATCCAGTCATGTTAGTGGACCCTGGCTGCATAATGACACCTTCGTGTCCCTATGGTTGAGTCCTGGCCC